TGGYTCACTGCTCAGCAATTCCYCTTTAAAAAKAACCTGTATGCAGGGTGTCTTCCTRACTGATGTGCCTGTCCCAYAACACRCCTCCTCCATTTATAATTATCTTAAACCTTAATAAAGCTTTCATTCTGGAGTGACTATTTTGTATCATTTAGCTGCTTGTGATATTGACTGAATCGTGCATTGGAGCTCAWCTTAAGCAACTTTTAAACTTAAAAAACTATTTTTCTTTTTCCAGAATCTCTTGTTGTGCCTGTATTTTGTGATTTTGTGTTGTATTTCTGTGTTTAATACACTCTCTGTGCAATTATATAAAATAATTATATTATTTTGGGTTCAGTATGTCTTTTTATATTGATTATAAAAAGATTATATGTCATTTTTACTTAGTATCCATAATGTCAAATAAGGTAGGCTCTACATTAAAGAGATAAGTGGAGATGCTATAAAAAATAACTTTTGCATGTTTATCAATCATGTTACACATTCATTGGCTACTAAACTACTGCAATAGATTAATTGGCTATTGCTCAACTATAACATAATATTATTGGTCACCTATGGCATAAGTGTTCAAGCACTCCGAAAAACACCAGGTGCAGCTTTGTTGCTCTTTTCTCCTGTTATTTTGGCATTCTTACTTCTGTTGATGCTACATTCACACAGGTAGAAATTTATTATTTTTCTGCTCACGGGCTTTTCTCACAAATAGAAGCTATCCATATCCAAATTAAGATCTGTGAAGCCTCTACAACCCAGGTCAGAGCACTGCTGTCCTGGTGGCAGTAGATAAGGAGAGGGGACAGTGCCACCGTGGTGTCACAGCCCCCTGGGCACCCCAGACTGCAGGGACCACACAGATCACACCCCAGAGGAAACTCTTGAAACACGAACTTGCTGCAGTTAACAGATCACAGAGAACTCCTTTGGGGTTTGCAATTTACAAACCTCAACATGCTCCTTGTTGTGCTGCCTGGAGAAGGCTCTGGCTCTTCTCCAACTGAGTCTTCCACCAGAATCCAGCCCAGATTTTAGCAGGATGTGCTTGAATCCAATATGTGCTGACAATATTTGATCCCCTCCTGCTGTAATGTTGGAAGGATCTGCTGAAAGAGGAATTRTTTCCTTTTTTTTTYYCCCTTTCTTTTTTCCCCCTGCCATTTTTATGTCTAATTTCCCAGTCATGACATGTAGAGGGTGTCTGAGCAAATCTAATCAGCCTTCTGCCTTCGTTAGGAAGGACAGCTGAGATGGTTTTTAACACCTCCATTCCTTCCTTGCTGCAATCTGTTTTGATTAAAATTGCACAGGGCTCTCATCTGCATATTTATCATTCCACAGACCCACAAATCATCTCCCAACTCTGCCACTCCCTGAACGTTCAGGAGRGCCTGGAGTTGTGCACCAGGATTTTAAAGCACGCAGACATTAATTTGGTTTCTCACACCCGCTGCTTTCCAGCAAATATGGCTTTGGGAAGGGAAATATTCATACATTACCTTTGCTTAGTATTCCCCAGGAGTTGGGATTCCTGGGGTTTTTTTCAAGATTGCTTGAAAATTTCCTATTAAGAAACAAATTTCTAATTAAATGCAGAGGTCCTGAAAAAGTTCTGATGCTGAGAGGGGGGTGARGGGAAGGGGGGATATCTAAACAAAGAAATAACCCTTTTTAATAACATTTTATCAGCTTTTGACAGCCAGACTGTGACATGCTTCCGTATCTTCAGATGAAAGGGCTGCAGTTAAAATGAAAATTATTCCTTCCCTTTGTGCTATTGACAGTCCGTCTTACTTCCACCACACATTATTAAATGTATCACCAGGCAGTGATCAGGTTTTTAAGGAGTGTTTTCTAGAAATAGCCTTTTTCCTGCTCTTTGCTTAAAATCTAACTTTCAAAGTTAATGTTCATGTAAGAATTTTTTTTTTTTTTTACCTCCCCTTTGCCCCAGCTGGTACTGCAGAGATGCCATGATTTTCTTCTCAACTCATAATCTCTATTTTTTAATCAGATTTTTGATATGTGTGACAGGCCACAGCACCTTTTCTTCATATTTATATTGAGGYTGGGCCTCAGGGAGAAGGAGAGTAGGAGAGAACTCTTGCCCGAGGAGGGTGGGAAGGTGCCAACAACCAAATGGAGAGAACATGAACTCCAGATTTACTGTCCTGCATGACAAGCAGAACATTTTCTGCTTCCACATCATCKTGCCCAAGATCTTTGCAGTCAGGGTGGCAGGAAGACCTGAGGGCACAGCTCATTAGGGTGAGTGGTGTTCCCTGTTAGACAAAATATTTGTACAGACACACTCGGGGTCATACAAACCCACCTGAGAGATGTCAGACAGACCCAGCTCCTCTGAGAGACCACAAAGCCAAACTCAAGGCTCAACTTTTGCCAACCCTTGCTGCGAGACTTTTAGGTGGCCCAAAATAACCCAGCAGCTGATGCCTGCAAAGAAAATGCAGGTTTCAAATCCAGTCCACTGTTCTGAAGGAAAGATGAGGAAAAATGAAGGAACAGCAGAGCCTGGCAGTCACTGTGGCTTCATTCCCCTCCTGCTCCCGGGTGGTCCATTGTGGTCGGAGCTGTTGTTTGGATTTTTTTGAGGAATGGGGCTGGAGAGAAGGATGTCCTCTTTGTTCTCCCAGCCAAGAGCATGGCTCATGTATAAATAACTGCAGGATGGTGTCTCGTTTGGAGGATGTCAGACCCAGGAATGGCCCAGCTAATTGTGCCGAGCCCTTGGCAGAGGGGATGGGAAACACCTGATGGGGGTGGATGAGCTCAGACATCACACGAGGTGTCAGAGCACAGAGGTCACAGGGCAGGCCTGGAATGCTGCTCTGGACCACCAYGATGTTTCTCCAGAATCTTCAAAAGGATGTCAGCCAAGGCACATTAATTCTCTCAGTATCATCCATGAGCTGAGAGGTTTGGCTACTCTAAGTCAGGGAGTGTCCAGACAAAGTCCTGGAGTTCCATCAGTAGTGACAGTGACAGTGGCTCTTGCCAGAGGCAGGTTTTTCATTTTCCAGGCATATTAAAGAAAGTTTGTGCCATCRTTAAGTGATTTGTCACCTCATGCAGGTCAGCAGAAAAAAGTGCAATTCCTTCTGTTTGGGCAAGACCCATATTCCTGTAGGTTGGGATTTACAAAAGCCAGACGGAAATGGATGCTCAACTTTCAMTAAAATTCAGTGAGAATTAGATGCAGAACTGCCTCCAGTTTGTTCCATTTCCCATTGGTGATCCATCTGTCAAGCAGCCTGTCCCTTTAATGACTACTTGAGGCTTAGGCACCAATTTTAGTTCTATGACCTTGTCTTGGGGCAAAAAGTGCACAGAACATGGAATTGCACAGGAAGCAGTTTGCAAAGCCCAAGTGGGAGTGCTTGAGACTAAAATCCCACTTCAAATACAGTCCTGAGCATGTTTCATGAACTGGCAACCCGATTTAGGGGTCAGAAATGAGACCTGGASCATGTCTGCCTCTGTTATTCTTTGTTAACAACCTTGTGATCTCTTCTGTGCAGGAAGGGCTTGCAGAAGTGTTTGAGCAAATGGGGTAAGTGTTAGAAATGCCTTGAAGCTGAATGGTTTTCYATAACAAGGGAAAACCCTTCCCTGCTGCTTGTTTGCTTCTGATTTATTCCCCAGTAAAAAGGGCTGAAGTTTGCTCTTTGTGAGCTCAACATCGCCTACAAAACTTCAGTGAAGTGTCTAAAGTATTGTGGTCATTCTGCCACAAAAGCAGCTGGGATAGCATGGGAAAAATGATCCCTACACTTTGGGGGAAGCAGAAGGGTGGAAGAGGCTGGTCTCTCATCTGACAAATAAATTACCATTCAAACTGGGATGTTTAGAGAATAAATTGCTGTTTCCTCCATTACTGACGTTTCATAGCTTGCAGCCACTGAAAGCGCTGATCAAACTATCAAACCCAGCTTCTCTGAGAATGGGAATGAAAACAAATGCTGAGATGACATTTATTAGGTGTGCTTGCTCAGGCAGTGCATTACTGCTTTGGCTCTACATGCTGAGGGGCTGGTCCTGCATGGAAGGACATGGATGTCTTTCCTCTCCCCTGGCTCAATCCAYTGGAAAGGATCAGGCACAGACAGAGGAGGAAGAGGAAATATTGGGGCTAATTGAAAAGAAAGAGTTTCAGGGTGAGTTGTAGAGCCCAGCCAGGTGCTTGTAATGCACACACATTATTGTGTTCTAGCCGAGGAAAGATCAGACAGTGGGAAATGCTGCCTGGTGAAAGGAAATACTGGCTGCTAAAAAGGCACTTTTACACATGTCGTTTTATTGCTGTCTCTGTTGGAGTCTCAGCTTCTCTCGTGTCTCACTCCTTCTGTACTAAAATATCCCTGTGATAGGAGCACTGACACCAGAACCTTCCACCTGCAGAGAGCTCCATTTATCTCCAAGATCTCGATAAATCGTTATATAGTGGAACTTACTATGGAGCTGCAAGCCCTGGAGATCATATTTCAAAGCAATTGGAGTAATTTAAAACATTAGAAAAGGGACGGAATTAACTTGGTAGTGTTGATGCAGCTTTTGGCAATGTCTTGAGTTTCTCACATGGTCCAACTTTGAGCAGTCTTCAAGTAGTGATGGGATGAAGGAAATACAGAGTTTAACATCAGTGAAATCATAACAGAACATATTTATTTTATCTACCTCTGTTTCCAGTTGAGCCGAGGCCCACCAGGCCTCTTTGCCCCAGTCTTCTGCTTGAGGCAGTTAAACCTTCCATAGCCCTCTAACCTGGAAATAATAGCAGCTTTCTTCATGTCTGCTGACATTTCCTTCAGAATCACACTGAGATCCTGGAAAACCACTGTTATTTTTCTCAGAGAAAGCTCAGCAGCTTGGGTGGAGAGAGATGGTGCTGCTCTCTGAGGATGCAGAATTTGAGCAGGGTCACACCTTCACTGAGTGGTGTAACTTCAGTTCATCTCTTACACTGTTCCTTCTTCTTTTAGGGGACAAAGACACCAGGAAAGGAAAGGACCTCCAGCTTGGTTGGACCTGGCTCTCCAATTTCCGCTCCAGATTACGAAGGCCAAACAGACCTAAGACTCTCTCAGCCTTGAAAGGGAACCGGGCACCACAATGGGACTCCCCAGTCGGGTTTTGGCCTGCGCCGTCCTCGCTTTGCTGTGCCAGCACGTCACTGGGGGACTCATCAAGAGAATTATCCGGCGGAGGAGGGAGACTGGGCTGAACGTGACCTTGCCAGAGGATAACCAGCCCGTGGTTTTTAACCAYGTCTACAACATTAAGCTGCCCGTTGGCTCGCTCTGCTCCGTGGACCTGGACTCGGCGAGCGGTGACGCCGACTTGAAGGGGGAAATCGAGCCCGTCAAGAATTACGAGGAGCACACGGTGAATGAGGGGAACCAGATYGTCTTCACTCACAGGATTAACATTCCCCGCCGGGCCTGTGGCTGTGCAGCTGCCCCAGACATCAAGGATCTGTTGAGCAGGCTAGAGGAGCTCGAGGGGCTGGTCTCCTCCCTGCGGGAGCAGTGTGCCAGCGGGCTTGGATGCTGTCCTAATTCCCAGGCAGTAGAAGGTAAGGCAGGCTGGGGAGCTGCTCTTGGGGCAAATTCTTGTGCTGGCTGGAGATGTTGTTTAGAGTGATCSTCCGATCTGTTTCCAGAGCGAGCACAAGTCAACCTGTTAAATTTGAAACGTAATCAAAACTGGGAATGTGTTTGGCCAGCRTGCAAGGTACATTCATTCACAGCTCCACAGTTCTGTGGATCTGCRGGTCAGGAGTCGGCCTGGGACCCTTTGTAGCACTGGCATTGAGCAGGGACGGCACTTGGGCATGGTGACAATCTGTCGGAGTTAAGATTAGAACTCACACAGCCCAAGCTCTTGGCTCCACTTTCTGTCCCCTTGAGGAAGCTGCCAATGTAACCATTTTCGCTTCCAAGTTTTCTTTGGTAGAGACCAATAAAAATCCAGCAGGACATAAGGCAACAGACGAGCACAAATGKTAACAGGAAGGGGAAAAATGTATCTGTCTGGTTGACTTTTAAATTGAGGGAAGGGGTTGGTCATACAAGAGAAGAAACACGAGTCTTYTTGGGAGTGCTGTGTCCCTCTGAGCTCAGAGTGGCCTCCCAGTTGCTGATAAAGCTGATGACACAATGTGCTGCCTGGCTTTTTGTGCTCTGGGGTGAATGGATGAATGATGTTTCATGGTGKATGCCCTAATGAAGCAGTCAGGAAAGCTGCTCAGTCAGTGGAAGAGGATTTTGGGAAGAGAGGAAGAATCCAGCATGCTCAATTACTAAGTCGTTGGCAGCGGCTCTTCCCTGGCATTAGAGCGAATTAAAGCTTTCCTGGTAAAGAAAATCTGGCTGGAGAATGTTAGAAACTGAAGTGGTTCTGGTTATTATGTCCTGTAGGGAACTAGGAAGAAAGATAGGAACTAAAGTGATTCTGAAATGATGTCCTGTAGGGAACTAGGAAGAAAGTTAGAAACTCAAGTGATTCTGAAATGATGTCCTGTAGGGAACTGGGAAGAAAGTTAGAAACTCAAGTGATTCTGGAAATGATGTCCTGTAGGGAACTGGGAAGATCAGAGCCCCTATAGGCTGTAGGTGACCTAAGGAAGGGCCAAGGCAGTAATGAGATTTTGGGATCGTTGTCACAGGTCGCCTGGACACCACCCCTTACTGCAGCGGGCACGGCAACTAYAGCATGGAGATCTGCGGCTGCGTGTGCGAGCCCGGCTGGAAGGGCCCCAACTGCAGCCAGCCCTCGTGTCCCTCCGACTGCAACGACCAGGGCAAGTGCGTGGACGGGCTGTGCGTGTGCTTCGAGGGCTACGGGGGCCCCGACTGCGGCCAGGAGCTCTGCGGCCACGGCTGTGGTGCCCACGGGCGCTGCGTGGGYGGGCAGTGYGTGTGYCAYGAGGGCTTCGTGGGYGAYGACTGCAGCGTGCCCCTGTGCCCMCACAACTGCCACGGCCGCGGGCGCTGCGTGGACAGCGAGTGCGTGTGCGACGAGGGCTACACRGGCGAGGACTGCAGYGAGCTCATCTGCCCCAAYGACTGCTTCGACCGCGGGCGCTGCGTGAACGGCACCTGCTTCTGTGAGGAGGGCTTCACCGGCGAGGACTGCGGCGAGCTGGCCTGCCCCAATGACTGCCACGGCCACGGGCGCTGCGAGAACGGGCTGTGCGTGTGCCACGAGGGCTTCGTGGGCGACGACTGCAGCGAGAGGAGGTGCCCCAAYGACTGYCACAACCGCGGGCGCTGCGTGGCCGGGCGCTGTGTGTGCCACGAGGGYTACCTGGGAGAGGACTGCGCAGAGCTGCGGTGCCCCAATGACTGCCATGACCGCGGGCAGTGCGTGGACGGGCAGTGCGTGTGCCATGAGGGTTTCATCGGCGAGGACTGCAGCGAGCTGCGCTGCCCCAACGACTGCCACAACCGTGGGCGTTGTGAGAACGGGCAATGCGTGTGTCACGAGGGCTTCACTGGGGATGACTGTGGCCAGCTGCGGTGTCCCAATGACTGCCACGGGCGCGGGCTGTGCGTCAATGGACAGTGCGTGTGCCACGAGGGCTACACGGGCGAGGACTGYGCGGAGCTGCGGTGTCCCAACGACTGCCACAACCGCGGGCGCTGTGTGGAGGGACGCTGTGAGTGTGACAATGGCTTCACCGGGGAGGACTGCAGCGAGCTGGCCTGTCCCAATGACTGCCACGGGCGTGGGCGCTGCCTGGACGGGCGCTGCGTGTGCCACGAGGGCTTCGTGGGYGAGGACTGCCGGGAGCRCTCCTGCCCCAACGACTGCAACAACGCGGGGCGCTGCGTGGACGGGCGCTGTGTGTGCGAGGATGGGTACATCGGGGATGACTGCTCCCATGGTAGGTGCAATGCCCCTCTGAGCTGCTTCCTCCTGGGTCCATCCAGCAGCCTCAGAGGCTCTGAGAGCCTTTTCCAATCCCTCAATTTTCAAGGCTGTGCAGTGCAGCATTTTCTGGTGACTTTTGGTGGTCACCAAGGCTGTTGATGGTATTGCAGTGCATTTGTCACCTCCATTTCTGCTCCCACCAGTGGAGCTGTAGCCAGTGCTGGCTGGGATTTGTCACTGTGACCCTTCAGTTTCTCACAGCACCTCTTGATGCTAAAAAAATATGAAAGGAACTGTTCCAGCTAAGGGAGATATTCCAGAGTCTTCTTACTACACGTGTGTATATTTATGTATATATATATATATTTATATATATTCATGCATATGTGGAGATGTGTATATTAGATCTGAGAGAAGTTCAGAGGAAAATAATGGAATCAGCTGGAGTGGAAACTCAGCTATAGTCACATGCTTGGTTTCCCAGGATCACTGACTATGGAAATCGATAGGAAATTTTGGCAGCCTGATAATGACAGGCAATGCACCACAAATTAGGTCGTTTTCTTTAGTAGATCCCTGGGGAGAAGTTGTGAAACTAAATTTTGGTAGAGTAATCAAAGAGTACTTTGGGGCTGGGAACACTATAAAAGACAATGAATACCCTTTAAAAGAAATTCCCATCTTTCATCTCCTCCTTCTGGAAGATTCCTAAGCCTCACTTTGTGCTCTTGCACAGACAAATCTATAGAAAGTATTTTCTTAAATAATAATGTTTTATTTTACTTTGGAAAATCTGTGCAAATCCCAGGACTTCTAACTCCACAATCATGTGCTGCTGGCAGTTGAATGAAACATCTGAACCCCTTGGGACCCAGCTTTAGCAGTCTTGTGCTGCAGCCATGAGAGGAGCAGCTGGAACACAGTCAGCCAGAGGTTGTGTGCAAGTGTGAGAGCAGAAATTGGCCCGTGGCTTCTGGAAATGTCTGCAGCCTCCATCAGCTGAGCATTCCTTTTCCTCAGCAGCTAATCTGTGGGACATGCCTTCCCCATTCCCTGCCTGTGAGATGAGCCTTAGGATCTGCTCCTGGGAAAATGTGGAACTGGGCAAGTCGTTATTTCCAGAGCCTTGAGAACTTCTAACTTAATTTTGGCTTTTTTTTTTTTTTTTCTCCCCCTTCCCAGTGTCTCCTCCGACTGAGCTGACCGTGACCAATGTGACGGATAAAACAGTCAATCTGGAGTGGAAGCACGAGAACCTGGTCAACGAGTACCTCGTCACCTACGTCCCCACCAGCAGTGGGGGCTTGGACATGCAGTTCACAGTGCCAGGGAACCACACCGCTGCCACCATCCATGAGCTGGAGCCCGGGGTGGAGTACTTCATCCGTGTCTTTGCAATCCTCAAAAACAAGAAGAGCATTCCAGTCAGCGCCAGGGTAGCCACATGTGAGTTTAATATTCCCTGTGTTCATCCTTTTGTCTGCTCTGTTTTCAGCCCTTTTTTGGAGTGTTGCTTATCTAGTATTTTCTGTTTTCAGTTCACCTGTGTTGATTTCAATGCCTTTATTTTGGGATATTATTTATTTTGTGTTTTCCATTTTCAGTTCCTATGTATTGATGTGCATGCCTGTTTCTGGGATACTATTTCTCTTTTATTTTTTACTTTCAATTCAACTTTTGGCCAGGACAAAATCATTCTTCTGCACTTTCATTTTCTGTTTTACTCCAGTACCAGGGACTGTGTTAGCAGCACAGTTCAAAAGCTCTTCTGCTCTCAGTGTCTCCCAGTATGGGATTTTTGTAAATTAAGAACCTTAGCTTCTTTATTATAATATACATTCCTTTATTATAATGTACATTTATTTATCATAATGTACATTTCTTTATTATAATGTACATTTTAAAATTCTGATAATTCTTCCTGAAACATAGCAGCATGTAAAAGAGCAATGTGAAATCACTTGAATTTAAACTGTTTTGGTTAAAATTGAGTTTATATTTGGTTTGCATCTTCAGTGTGTTTTATCAACTTGCCTTTCATCTTCCTACCTGTCCTTTTGTTGTTCATCTTCCTTTTTGTTTTGTGCATGTCACTGTCATGCCTAAACATCCCAGAATCAAAAATCACTGAGATAATTTTTAGAGACCTGGGTCAGGATTCCGTTCCCCTGACTTCCAATGTCCACACCAGCTTTATTCAAGAGGGCACAAAAAAGAGTTTTCTAGGGTAAAATTCATTTTATTCTAAAGTGACATCCAAATCAGCTCAGGAAAGTCCCTCCAAAACCAGAACAACTTGATCTGAGGAGTGTTGTACAAACTGAGCTGCAGATCCCCACCTGGCAGATATTTCCAGAGGTAGAAAGCTGTCCCACCCCAGTGCCCTATTTCTTGCTGCTCATGTGAGGATATCTCTTTTTTCTGCCACAGATCTGCCTGCTCCAGAAGGTCTGAGATTCAAATCTGTCCGGGAAACGTCCGTCCAGGTGGAGTGGGACCCTCTGAACTTTTCCTTTGATGGCTGGGAGCTGGTCTTCCGTAATATGGTGAGGACACAGTTTCATGTACAGAATGGAAAATCCTGGATTTTAATGTTTGTGCTCACTGATTGTTCTATATGTTCCAGAAAAAGGATGATAATGGTGACATAACCAGCAGCTTGAAAAGGCCAGAGACATCCTACATGCAGCCAGGTTTGGCACCAGGGCAGCAGTACAACGTGTCCATCCATGTCGTGAAGAACAACACCAGAGGACCAGGACTGTCCAAAGTGATCACCACAAGTAAGCACAGCCTGCGTTTGGTCTGGGTTTAGGTGGCCACTGACAAAAATTCTGCTCTTTTGGGGGTTTTTAAACAAGAGAAAGTCAAACTCTACAGTGAGTTAATAGAGGGAAAAAGGAGGAGTGAAGTTGCTAATGAGGAAAAAATCATTCCTCTCCAAATTACCTGTTTGAGGCAGAAAGGAAATTTATGTTCAGCTGGCAGGTAGCAGGCAGTATACACTTTTACTCCTTTTTCAAGATGCACATCAGCAGGAACTAGAATTTCTTACTGAATTTCTTCCATCCTGGTGATATTTGCATGAAGAATGCATGAGGGTGGAGAAGCTCTTAGGGCTCCTACTTGTCTTTCCTCTGGCAGCTTCTGGTGTGAAGGAATTTTGATGGATTTGCTGCAGATGGATTGACTCCATTTGGAGTCTGAACCTACAGGAACCAAAGGAAAGGAGTAAATGAGGAGACTTATTTTAATTTTGCTCTGAATCAGCAATTAAAGGCATAAGAATGTGGGTGTTTTTCACAGCAGGATTTCTTTAAAAAAGCTCCTTTTTTCTTCTCTTTTGCCTGGTAACAGAACTTGATGCCCCCAGCCAGGTGGAGGCCAGGGACGTCACCGACACCACCGCTCTCATCACGTGGTCCAAACCCTTGGCTGAAGTTGAAGGTGTGGAGCTCACTTACGGCCCCAAGGACATCCCAGGGGACAGGACAACCATTGACCTCTCTGAGGATGAGAACCAATATTCCATTGGGAACCTGAGGCCGCACACCGAGTACGAGGTGACGCTCGTGTCCCGTCGGGGGGACATGGAGAGCGACCCCGTGAAAGAAGTGTTTGTCACAGGTGAGGGGCTGGGAAGGGGGCACAGGGACCACCCACCCTCCTGTGATGTTTGTGTCTCGCTACTGGAGTGGCAGCTCCTCATTCACACAAATCCAGGCCAGTTTTAGAGGTACAGGAAAGTGGAGAATGATTTCCTGTGCCTTCTAGGCAGCAGAATGTTTAGAGCCCCTCACAAATCCCAGTTTTGTAAATGGGGGTTAGGTTATTGCCTCTCCTACCCTAAACTCCTACTTCCAAAAGCAAATTCCTCTGGATCATTTGACTGTCTGATGAGCTAAATATCTTCCACAATTCCTATTCCACCTTATTTCACTTTGCTTAATTAGTTTTGAAGCAGAGAAGTGTTTTTTTTTCTCTTCTTCAGTTCTGCAAATATTTTCTGTCATGTTTTTATAAATTTATACTGCTCCTCAGCCATCTTGGGAATGCTTTTGGAAAGTGTGGGTCCTTTAGCAGGTTAGCAAGGCTTGATGCATTAAGGGAGCTGAGAATTACCTCTCTTTTCATCCTAAAATACAGTTGTTATTTCAGGGTAGGGTTTGAGGCTGCTGTAGGTGTGAAAAATGAAAGCTTATTGAATTTCTATGTAATATTCACCTTTTTTTTTGAGACTAAGAGTTCCTCCCAGCCATGAATGCAAGATGTTATTGAACAGAAATCCTAGAGATGATCAGTTCTTTGTTCTTTTTT